GTTATTTGTTTCATGGCTTTCTGACTTTTTTTAGTTCTTATTATATTATGGATACTAGCCTTGTATTAGATGTGTAGTTGGTAAAAATATTTTCTTATTCTCTAGGCTGACGCATTGTCTGAATGATGGTGCCCACTGCTTTAAAGAAGCCTTCAGTTTCATGAGGTTCCATTTATTAATTGTTCATCTTAGTGACTGTGCTAATGGTGCAATTCTGTTCAGAACAGGTAATTCTGTGCCAGTGAGTTCAAGGCTATTCCCTGCTTTCTCTTCTATCAGATACAGCTTGTCCCACAGATTTATGTTGAGAGTTTTGATCCATTTGGGTTTTAGTTTGAGAAAGGATGATAAGTTTATGTCTATTTGGATTCTTCTACATACCGCCTTGCCAGTGGCCAGCACCCTTTTTGAAGATGCTGTCTTTTTTACAATGTGTGTTTCTGACTTCTTTCTCAAAAATCAGGTGTCCAGGGGTGTGTGAATTTATTTCTGGGTCTTTAGTTTTATTCCATTGACTGTTTTTGTGTCATTGCCATACTGTTTTTATTACTACAGCTCTGTAGTACAACTTGAAATAGGGATGGTAATACCTCCAGCCGTTCTTTTGCTATTGAGACTTGTTTTAGCTAGCCTAGTTTTGGGGGGAGAGAAGGGTTTCAGTATAAAGCTGGAAATTGTCCCTTCAAGATCTGTGGAGAGCATTGTTGGAATTTTGAATTCAATTGTTTTGAATTTGTAGATTACTTTTGGTGTGATAGTCATTTTCTGGGTATTAATTCTACCAATCCATGAGAATGGAAGATCTTTCCATATTCTGAGGCATCCTTTCATTTATTTCATTATTTCTTCAATGTCTTGAAGTCCTTATCATGCAAGTCTTCTACTTGATGGGTTAGAATTACCCTAAGATATTTTATATTATTTGAGGTTATTGTGAAAGATTTTATTTCCCGGATTTCTTTCTCAGTTCATTATATGGAATGGCTACTTATTTTTTGTGAGTTAATTTTGCATCCAGCTCCTTTGCTGAAAAAGTTTATCAGCTATAGTAGTTTTCCTGTGCTTGTTTTAGGGTCACTTATGTTTACTATCATATCACCTGCAAATAAAGATATTTTGCTTCCTTCCTTTCCATTTTGTATCCCCTTGATTTCCTTCAGTTGTCTTACTGCAGGTACAAATCAAGTACTATTTTGAACAGCTGTGGAGAGTGAAGAGTGCCGACAGCTTGGCTTCTTCCTGATTTTAGTAAAATTGCTTTGAGTTTCTCTCCATTAAAGTTGATATTGTCTATGGGCTTTCGTTAAACTGCCTTCATTAATGTTGAGGCATTTCTCTTGTGCCTCTGATATCTCCAGGACTTTTATTATTGCAGGATTTTGGATTATTTTCAAAGACCTTTTCTGCATTAATGATATCATCATGTTTTTTTTTTTTTTTTTTTTTTTTTTTTTTGTGTGTGTGTCTTTCAGAGTGTTTATATGTTGGATTACATTTATCTATTTGCATATGTGTAACCATGCCTTCATCTCCAGAATGAAGTCCATTTGAATGTGAAGGATGATCTTTTTGATGGCTTCTTGGATTTGTTTTGCAAGTATGTTATGGAGAATATTTTGGATCTATGATCACAAAAGAAATTGATCTGTAATTTGCTTCTTCACGGTGTCTTTACATTGTTTGACTATCAGGATAACTTTGGTCTTATAAAGTGTAATGTGTCCCGTTCATTCTGCTTCTGTTTTATGGAATAATTTGTGGAATATTGGCATTAACTCTTTTTTAAAAGTCCGGTAGAAGTTTATACTAAAACCCTGGCCCTGGGCTCTTTTTGTGTGAGACTTTTAATTATTGTGTCAATATCACTAGGAGTTATTGGTCCATTTATATTGCCTATCTTATCTATCCAGACTGTATTTTTCATCTCTCTGTTGTTTTTTCCCTTTATATTGCTTTATTTCTTTAAAGACTTTATTATTTTTAAACTATGTTTTATAACTCTCTATACCATTTCTCTTTTCTCTTCCAAGTCTATGTACCTGTTTAAACTGACTATGACCCTTTTAGAGGTTTATCTATCTGGGTCTGTATTTACTGCATATTTGTAATCTCTTCTGCCTTCATGAACAAAGAATAAAACTGCTATGTGGCTAGATTCCCGGCATGTTTTCCAGGCTCACTCTGGAAGCTCAAGCCCACAGGCAGCAGCTGGGAGATGCATTTCTGTAACCAGTGCCGGCATGAGGGACATGAGACTAGAAAGTCACATTTGGCTATATTTTTGTGTGATTATAACCTTTTTTTAAGCTTTCCTAGGACTTATGAGGATGTAGGTGCCAGAATTTTGGGAACTATATAGAGGCAGACTTTTCTGACCAGTACCCAAATAGCCACATGGAGACTTACTATTAGTTATAAATGCTCAGCCACTAGCTCAGGCTTGTTAGTAGCTAACCCTTCTATTTTAAATTAACCTATATTTCATATCTACCCTCTGCCACTTGGCTTAGTACCTTTTATCAGTATGGCAAGTATAACTCCTTCTCGCCACATCCTTTGCCATTTCTGAGATTCTGCCCTTCTTTTTCCCAGTGTCCTCTGTGTCTGGCTGCCCCACCTATACATCCTGCCTCGCTACCAGGCAATTACCTCTTTTATTAAACCAATTAAAAGGTGCCTTGGTAAATACATATCTTCACTGTGTGCAAAAAATGATTATTCCATAAAAGATAAATTGTACATATTGAGAAAATTATCCATTTCTTTTAGTTTTTCTAATTTTGTGGAGTGTAGCTTTGCAAAGTATATCCTTATGATTCTCTGGATTTCTTTGATATCTGTTATGTCCCTCATTTCATTCTTAATTTTGTTAATTTGTATATTCTCTCTATTATTTAGTTAATTTTGATAGGGACTTGTTAATTTTGTTTATTATCACAAAGAACCAACATTTGGTTTCATTAATTATTTGTATTTCTTTTTGCCATTTGTTTCTATTATTTTATTTCAGATCTGACTTTGATTATTTCTGGCAATCTATTCCTTCTGGTTTTAATTCTTCATTTTGTTTTAGAGCTTCCAGGTGTGCTGTTAAGTTATCTGTATTTACTTATGAAATATGTTTAATTCTTTTATTTTTCATCATTGTATTTTCCAGAACTCAAAAGAAAGTTTGGCATTGTTGAGCTTCCAAACTTAACTATTTGAAGAGCAAATGATTAATTTCTTACTCTTCCAAAATAACAACTTTTTATTATTATATTTATGATGTATCTCATAGTTAGCATCCTTCTTTCTCTAAAACAAAAATTTAATTGCATCTTTAGAAAAAACTAAAAACTAAATTTTCCATGGTAGTATGTATTATTAGGAACACTATCATGCTCTCCTTCCTTCCTTCCTTCCTTCCTTCCTTCCTTCCTTCCTTCCTTCCTTCCTTCCTTCCTTCCTTCCTTCCTTCCCCCCTTCACTCTCTCCCTCCTTTCCTTCCTTCCTTTCTTTCTATTTTTCTTCCTAACTTTTTTCCCTTCATTTTAAATACTGAATCTTACTGGTAATTCATTTGGCCTTTAAAAAATCTGCCTGCCCCTGACTCCTGAGTGCTGGGATTAAAGCCAAGCAATATAGCTTCTGGCCTTATCAGTTTTAAAATATGATAAAATACCACTGTTTATTTTCCTACTCCAGCTGCAAAACCAGATAACATTAAATCAAGAGTTGGATTTCTCTTCCAGTCACAATACTGCCTTGTAGGTGTGAGGAAATGGGAGAAACCTTAGTTTAAAAGTGAATAGCTGAAAGAATTTTCACTTTCAGTTCCAAGATGTAAAAGATCTTGGGCATTAACATAAGAAAATGTTGGACACACTCAGAATCAGTGTTTTTCTTGACACCATCCAGAAATTTAAGTTGTATGGCAAACTGCCACTCTGCTATTTGGCGAATTTAGGTACTCCCAGAAGCAGTGCAGCCAAGATCTGCTTGCCTGGAACTGACTCTGCTGTTTCTGAAAACCATCTGCATTACTGTTGGCTGGAATATCCTGTCCAGAATGGGAGCATTGCTTCATGTTCTTCATCCAGTCAAGACATTCATCATCTCAATCTACCACAGAAGGAGCAGGCAAGGCTAATACCCTTCCTGCTGTGTGCTGTATTTTGCAAATGGCTTTCTGATCAGCAAAAATCTAGCAAGTGTTAAATTCTTTATATCACACTTTTATTAAAGATTAAAGATATATAGCCTGACTTTATCTTTCTTTAGGCAAAATGGGGCTGTATGTATATGAAAAAGAAGATCCTAACTGACAGGAACTAACCTGTTACTGCTAAGAGTGGGATTGCCATTCACAGTTTTTTTTTTTTAAATCACTTCCTTAAAATTCAAATAATGGATAAGATCCTGTTGTGACCATAATATGTCAAGATCAAAATGATAGACTTGTGGTCATATCTAAACTCACACTAAAAAAAAAAAAGTCTAACCTCAGCCCTACACAAATAAATATAGGAGGCAACTAAGGATTGTGTAGAGTGGGAGAAATAATGTTCCCAAAAGAAGAGCATATCAACTGGTTATCCAATACCAAATGTTCAGCTTAAAAACATGAAAACATTTAACGTTACAAAGACTGAGCAGAATATGTTTATGAATATATATGTATATATTCATATATACATGTATATGCATGTAACAATAATTATTGAAAATGAGAGGTCATAAATTTGAAAGAGAACAAGGAGAGATGATATATGGGAGGTTTGGAGGAAAGAAAGTGAAGGAGATAATGATGTAATCATAATCTCAGAAATATTTTTAAAATGTACAAAAAATTCAAATGTGAATAAATACCCTATATGTGTCCTAAATACCAGCAATGTGTTTTTGTTTGTTTTATTGTGTGGATGTTTGTCTGTGTGGGCTGTTTTGTGAGATGGACTTTGATACATAGCCCAAGGTTGTCTATACTCAAGATAATCATCTTGCCTCAACTTTTTCAGTGTGGAAACCAGGCTTGAACCTCCATTTCCAGCAATCAGTGCTTCCTCACCAATCCGTGAAAGTCCTTCTGATGTTTTAGACTTGTTAAGGTAACTTCTCATCTTTCTTTCTTGTCACTTTTGTAAATAGGATTCACAGAAAATTCTAGTTGTAGAATTGACATCATTTTCAGAGCCAAGCATAATTTTCTTGAACTACAGTTGTTGCTGACTCCAGACGCCAAATATATCCATCCCGATAAGCCCTGATTCTCTATAAGGTCCTTCCCTGCATTCTCTCTAACATGACTGCTCATCTCTGTTTTACTACTGATGTTCTTCTGGTGAGGGGGAACTGAGGTTTTTAATGAGAAATCATGACAATTATAGAACTAAATCTACTTATACTGTACAGCTGAAGTTTAATTTCCACATTATTATTCTTTTATAATTTTATTTCTTGAGGATAGGACACAAGGGCTTTACATACTCTAGACAGCTATACTATCAGTATATATTCTTGGTCACCTCTCCCCTTAAATGATTAGTTACAATTTACACCTAAAAGTATGTTCTTTTCTTTCACTTACCATAAATATTTATTTTTTACATTCATTTATATATTTCTCTCCCTCCCTCCCTCCC